TTACTAATTTTTTTTTATTTGAGGCCTTTAAAGTAAGGGGGGGGGCCAATTTTTTTTATTAAAAAAATTATTAAATTTTTTTATTAAAATTTTTTTCTTTGGGGCCCCCCCCCTTTTTTAAATAACCCAATTTTTTTTTTTTTTTTTTTTTTTTTTTTTTTGTATGCGTTTTTTTTTTTTTGATAAAATTTTTGTATTTTTTTTTTTTTTTTTTTTTTTGAATGGCTTTTAAAGGAGGAAAATGGAAAATGGAGAAAATTTCTGTCTCAAAGCACGGTTTGGTTAAGGTTGCACAAAAAGGTTTAAAAAAAAAAAAAAAAAAAAAAAAATGTAGATATTTATTTATTAGGGTTGTTGTTGTTGTTGTTGTTGTTACATCGTAGATAGATAAATTTAGAAGTCAAGTCAACGTGGGAAAAATTAATTAAATAATAATAATAATTAAAGTTGAAAAGTTTTCATATTGAAAAATGAAAAATGGAATCTCAAATTGATCAAATTGTGATTTATATATATATATATATTTATTGTATTGATGATTTATATTATATAGCACGAGGGGGGCATCAATCCGACAGAATCCATGACCCGGGCACTCATTGCCGACGATGCCATTGCTAGGCAATCGCAAAATGGACCTGTTCAGCTTGGGTACGTATTTTCCTTCTAAAAAAAAAAAAACCCTATTTAAGGGAATGTTGTCGAAGGGTGGAAAAGCGTCAGGGAAAAGGTAGTAGTAATGTGGGGCTTTTTAAAAAAAGAAGAAAGAAAAAAATTTTTATCTCTCTCTCTTTTTTCTTTCTTTCTCTTCATTCTCTTCCGCTTTCTCTTTTTCTTTCTCTTTCTTTTTCTTCTTCTTTTGTGTTTTTTTTTTTAAAATTTTTTTTTATTGAGTGTTTTGTTCTTCTTGCGCTGTAGGAAAAAAAAAAAAAAAAAGAAGAAAAGCTTCTCTGTCTGTACCTAAGTAAGTGTTTTTATTGTTTTTAAATTTTGAGATTTGGAAAAAGAAAAAAGAAAAAATTTGTGAGTGAGAAATTTAGTGTTCTTTTCAAAGAAGAAAATCGTTAATAATTAAATACAGATGATAATAATAATAATGATAAAATAACGTTTTTGTTAATAACAATTTAAAATTTAATTAAAGTTAAATTTTTAAAAATTGCATGTAATGCTTTTTATAAACGCTTTTCTCGTGTGAATTTCGTGTTTAAAAAAAAAAAATTAAAAAAAAAAAAAAACGAATTCGAGTTGTGTTTATACAGCATCCATTCCTCTCATCTTGTTTTTCTCTCTTGTCTCTCACGTGAAAACTCACAATTTTTTTTTTTTTTTTTCCCAATATTATTGATCACTTATTGGGAAAACCAAGGGAAACGCATCACGAGTGGTTTGAATCGTAAAAAAAAAAAAAAAAAAAAAAAAATTGCTTTATTATTTGTCGGATTTGTAGGAAAAATGAATTTTCCTTCAAGGGTAAATAATAAAATTTTCTCTTGTTTGTATTTAAATATTATTATTATTATTATTATGTAGTTATTAGTTTATGTTTATTTACAATTTCACTTTCATTTTTTTTTTTTTTTTCTATTCATTTTTGTAAAGATTAGCTTGCTTTTTTTTTCTGTTTTCTTTCTATTATTTGTTCTATGAAGTAAAAGCTCTGTGTCTCAGTTTATAAACTATATACATTTCATTTCGGAAAAAAAAAATATTATTATTATTATTATTTTTATTGACAAGGAAAACTTTATTCTCGTTTCTTTTATTTTTAATTGAAAATTTATTTATTTATTATTATTATTTTTTTTTTACGATGAACCTTACGATATGCGTCATTTTTCATTTGCGAATTTTCAGGTTTGTCGCCGGTGTTATACTGAGAGAAAGAGTACCAGCATTTGAACGTATGCTTTGGAGAGCTTGTCGCGGTAACGTTTTCCTTCGTCAAGCGGAAATCGAAACACCTTTGGAAGATCCATCATCGGTAAGTTGGAACCATTTTCCCCTACTCTTAATTATTAAATGAAAATTTTTTTTAAAAAAAAAACCCATTGATTTTATTTTGCAGGGAGATCAAGTATTCAAATCCGTTTTCATAATATTTTTTCAAGGGGATCAATTGAAAACGAGAGTTAAAAAAATATGCGAAGGTTTTAGGGCGACACTGTATCCCTGTCCGGAGGCTCCCACGGATCGACGGGAAATGGCCATGGGTGTCATGACTCGAATCGAAGATCTGAACACGGTGAGGAAAAAGAAAAAGAATATGGCGATGGATTCGTTTAGTTTCAAATATTATTATTATTATTATTGCGTTAAAAAAATTCATTTTTAGGTTTTGGGTCAAACTCAAGATCATCGTCATCGTGTGCTCGTGGCAGCAGCGAAAAACATAAAAAATTGGTTCGTAAAAGTGAGAAAAATCAAAGCCATTTACCACACTTTAAATTTATTTAACCTGGACGTGACGCAAAAATGCCTGATTGCCGAGTGTTGGGTCCCCCTTTTGGACATGGAAACGATTCAGTTAGCTTTACGTCGAGGAACTGTTGGTTTTTTTTTTTAACGGAAATTCTTTCTTGTTGGTTTTATTTGGCTTATCATAAAATTTTCCTTGTCGTGTTTTATTATTAAAGGAAAGAAGTGGAAGTTCCGTTCCGCCCATATTGAATAGAATGGACACTTTTGAAGATCCCCCGACTTACAACAGAACAAATAAATTTACAACAGCTTTTCAGGCTCTTATCGATGCCTACGGAGTTTCAAGTTACCGAGAAGTAATCGTTTTTTGTTTTAAAAAAAAAAAAAAAAGGGGGGGGGGCTTTTCTCTCTCTGTCTCCGGAAAATTTAATTGAAATTTTTTTTTTAAATGGTAATTTTCAGGTTAATCCTGCTCCGTACACTATAATAACATTCCCATTTTTGTTTGCCGTCATGTTTGGCGATACTGGTCACGGACTGCTGATGACGATATTCGGAGCCTGGATGGTATTGAAAGAAAAACCTCTACAAGCCAAAAAATCAGACAGCGAAGTATGTATGCATTAATATTTGGAGAAAAGTCTGAACAGTGCTGGAAATTTGTGCGTGTGTTTCAGATCTGGAATATTTTCTTCGGCGGACGTTACATAATTCTTTTGATGGGCGTTTTCTCATGTTACACGGGTTTAATTTACAATGATGTTTTTTCAAAATCTCTCAACATATTCGGATCTGCTTGGTCGGCATCACACCTCGACATGAGTTACATAATGAACGAAAAGGTTGGTTGGCAATTAAAAAAAAAAAAAAAAAAAAAGTTTATTTAAATGCTTACAAAATGCTTAGAGCATAGGGTGATTAAATTTTTCTTCCATGGCGTTTTTGTTATTTTTATTGTTTTGATGTTTTTTAGTCTATCATGTTGGATCCGAACAGTACTGCATACGTGCAAATCCCTTATCCGTTCGGATTGGATCCCGTTTGGCAAGTGGCAGAAAATAAAATTACTTTTTTAAATACGTACAAAATGAAATTATCGATTATTCTTGGGGTTTTTCATATGTTGTTCGGAGTCTGCCTTAGCTTGTGGAATTTCAGGTATTATATATATATATACTAGTTAGTCTATAGGGGTCTTTCCCTTGATCGTATCCCAATCATGCGATCATCCTAATTTTTGCAGGTATTTTAATAAAAAAATGGATATATTTACTCAGTTCGTACCTCAAATCATATTTTTGTGCTTCCTTTTCTTGTACCTGGTACTATTAATGTTTGTTAAATGGGTCAATTACACAGCTTACACGACAGGTAAATCATTTTTTTCTCTCAAAACTCCAATGAGTTTATTATTATTATTATTATTATTATTATTATTATTGAAATAAAAAAATGGCATTTTTTTTTTTTTTTCAGATATTCTTTTGAGTCCATATTGCGCTCCATCAATTTTGATAACGTTTATCAACATGGTTTTAATGAAGAAAGATGTTGCTCCGGCGGGTTGCGATCCGTTCATGTACGGCGGACAGAGTACAATACAAACAATGTTGGTAGCAGTGGCTGTCATATGCGTACCCGTCATGCTTTTCGGAAAACCCCTGTATATAATGAGACAGCAAAAAACTCGTCACGTTCCGGTAAAATTTCAAATTTTATAAATTAAATTAAAATTAAAGTTTTTTTGTATAAAAACGAACGTTAAAATTTTTTACAGTTAAATAGTAATCATGCGGGAGAAAATGGGGATGCGGAGGGTGGTGGTGGTGGTCAGTTTCCACCATCTCAGCCACCCGTCGAACACGATGAAGAGCACGATATGGGTGAACTCATGATTCATCAGGGTATTCACACAATTGAATACGTTTTGGGATCCGTGTCTCACACTGCCTCGTACCTTCGGCTATGGGCTTTGTCTTTGGCTCACGCGCGTAAGTGTTGGATTATGGATCATTTTCCTCCTCGACAAAATACATTCATTACGTACCTTTTTTAATTTCTCAGAGCTTTCCGAAGTATTGTGGAACATGGTTCTTAAATTCGGATTGGTTCGCGAAGATTGGACCGGTGGTATATTTCTATGGATAGTTTTTGCCGGATGGGCTTGCCTCACGGTCAGCATATTGGTCGTTATGGAAGGTCTGAGTGCGTTTTTGCACACGTTGCGTTTGCATTGGTAGGGAGTATAACTAAATAATAAGACGACAAATCAATTTTAAATCTTCAGTTAATCCACCGCCTGATTGATTTTGTTTTTGTTTGTTTTTCCAGGGTTGAATTTCAGAGTAAATTTTACGCGGGTCAGGGTTACGCATTTCAACCATTTTCTTTCGAAGCTTTGCTCGATTCGGCTTCGCAATCCGGAGAAGATTAAATTACGTTAAAAAGTAAGGGCATAAATAAAATTAAGAGAAATTTTTCGAAATTATTTTTCAGAATTATCCTTAATTTATTATAAATTATATGGGAACTTTGTAATAGTATAGCGAACGTAGTTATTTATTGTAAAAAAAAAAAAAAAAAAGAAAAAAGATTTTTAAAAATTTTCAATGTAGTTTCGATGTCTATTGCTAGTATTGCGAGTTTATTTTTATTTTATTTTTATTTATTTATATATATTTAATAAAAGTGAAAACTCGCATAAAGCACAATTTTTTTTTTGTTTTTTTTTTTTTTCACATTCATTTTTTTTGTTAAACAAATCATCCGTACAATTTATTATTAGCATATTTGTTATTTATTTAAAAAAAAAAAAAAAAGGTAGAAGAAGAGTAAAATTTTATTGATTATAACATATTACATAATAATATATATAAAAAAAAATTATATCGTTGTTGCACACTTACATAAATGTATTTTTTAAAATGAATATTCCTATCTCGCGATGTTTTAAAAATTCCTATCCTTGGATTATTTTTCACTTTTTTTCTTTTATTTAAATAAATTCAATTGTTGTTGATTGATTGATTATAAAATATAAGTCGGTTAATAAGTTTGAGGAAAGAGTTTCAAAAAAAAACGTTAAAATTCAAAATGGAGGATAAGAAATGTAAGTTGACGAGTTTCTCTTATGTTAATCTTATGAAATGGTGAGGACTAATAGGGTTTTTTTTTTTGGAGGTAAAACGATGGAATGTTCGAAAAGCAGACATTTTGAAATTTGATTTGTGATCACGAAGTAGCATGATGAATTTTTTAATATCAAAAATAAAAATTTGTAATTTCTTATCATTTTTCGGTGAATTTGAAATATCGTTAAAATCTCTAACAGGAATTATGTGTAATTTTTATGAAGGTGATAGTTTTTTTAAAAAAATAATAAACTTGAAAAATGATTAACGACATTTTATTTCAGTTTTTATGTATGTAAATGCAATTCGACAAAAAAAATTTTTTTTTTTTTTTCGTTTAATGTTAATAATTTTAAAATTTAATCGAATTATGGTTTTGAAAAAGAATATGTAATGAGACAAAAGATAATTTTTTGTTATATTTCTTTTACTTTTTCAGGTAAGATTGATTTTCTAAGAGCATTTGAATTTGTATTCGGTGGTGAAATAAATGAAAATCCGTTAGTATTCGTTCATGAAGTATTAAGAGAAAATTTTTTTAAAAAGTAAGTTTTTTTTTCTATTCGCATAGCGTTTTTTTTTTTTTTTTGCTAAAAAACAATTAAATTTTCTTTTTAATTATTTTTAGCCGGGAAATTCAATGCTACGTCACGATAACGGTTAATTTTCCGCAAGACAATAAACAATTGACTTTTACCAGAAGCGTTATCATCCGGTAATATATTCACATAATATTTTTTTTTTTTAAATTTATTTATTATCATTATTATTATTTTTAATTTTTAAAATGATTAATTTAGAAACGGTAAGGCTTGCATAGAACACAGAATGTCGGATATTATAATTACAAAATCCAATTATGAAGAAAAATTACAAAATTTAAATCTGAATATAAAAAAAAAAAATTTGATATTTGATCAAAGGCAATTTGTTGATTGCATATGGAGTTCAGAGGATGAAGATTTAGAAAAAATCATTTGTGAATGCTTAAGGTGAGAAACAATATTTATTTTAATAACAATAACAATTTATCATTTTCTACAAACAAATTAATTTTGTTGATACAAAAAAGCAAAATGTCATGTCCAAAAGTGTTTAAATTGAGATTTGTAAATGTTTAATGATGATTAGATTCCTTCATTATAATTTTTAATTTTTTTTTTTTAGAAAAGAATATTTTTTGGACGAATTAAATAGAGGACGAAAAGAAGTTAAATATTTATCAGATGTCAGATTAAAAGCATCAGAAAAACATTTTAATTCATTTAAAAAATCACAAATTATTGTTGAGAAATTTGTTAAAAATATTGAAGAAATAACTAATGAAAAAGTGAGATTTATGTTTTTTTTTAAAAACATTTTTATAATTTATAAACATTATACAAAACAACAGAAACGAAAAATTAATTATTATTATTATTTTTTTTAAAAATAAATTTCTTTTTTTTTTTTTTTAAGGAAAAAATAAATAATGAAACAATCAGCGAATTATATTCATCTCATTTTGATAAAAATAATATTTCGGATGAAGAAAATTTTAATGATGAAACAGGAAAAATTGATTTCGATGAAACAAATAATGATAAATTAGAGAAAATGATAGAATTAGAAAAAGAATATGATCTTTTAGTAATTATCAATTGTTTTCATTTTTAATTATGTACCTGTTTCGATTACCTGTTTTATGCACCTGTTTATGTACCGTGTATGTACCTGTTTAAATGCGAAAAAGTTTTTTATTATCATTACAGAGAGAAAAAATAAACGAAACGAAATGTAAAATTGCAATATTGTGGCCTCAGATATACCACGAAGAAATTTACACGGCCATTAGTGAAAGAAATACAGAATTATTACAGTAATTTTTTTTTTTTTTTTTTTTTTGAAAAAACCCAAGCAGTAATTATGATGTTGTGAAAATTTAATAATTTTTACATTTCAGAATTAGAATTAATAAAATTCAAAAAAATATTAATAAAAAACGATCGGAATTTTTTGAAATTTTAAAATTTATCAAAGATACAGAATATGAAATCGATAATATTTCAAATAATATTTGTTACAAATTAGCCAGCGGATATGAATATTTACGTAAAAGTCATCTTCAAAATCGTCTTACGAATGTAAATCAATCACGAAATAAATTTAATAATTTATAAAATTATTTATAAAAATAATTTTCGTTTCAGCAGTATGGAAGACTTCACGAATATTTGCAACCGAGTAAATATTTACAAGTTTTGAAAAATATTATAGGAAGTGACACGTATTATGCCAACCTGTGCGATACAATGGAAGATGCAATGAATTGTATAAATCTGTTAAAAAATCTTAGATATGAATTCAGGGAAACATTTATCATATTTGAAAATCATTCTCATTCTTTAAAAAACACATTAATGTTAGTATTATTATTATTATTATTTTAAAACGCGTTGTTTTTGTTTTATTAAAACGTAAATTGTTTTTTAAGGTTTTCTGGAGAAAGAGGCGTGGAAATAAAAACTCTGGAACAAGTTTTAATTTTTTTATGTAAATTATCACATTTCGGTGTGATCGATAAAGTTCCTGTCATTCATCAAAAACGTTTTGACATGGATTGTGATTTGGTAAAAACCTAATCGTCATTTCCCCCTTCCCCCTTCCCCCCCCCAAAAAAAAACAACGATTCGAAAAATATTTAATTAAAAAAAAAAAATTTTTATATTAAAGCCAACAGTGAATAATAATAATTATTATTATTATTATGAAGAAGAACATATTTTTTTTAAATTCGATGGAATTATTAATTATCAATATTTAACATACGATATGATTAAATTGGAAAATGAAAATGAATTAAACGAAGAAATTATTCAACTTAAACTAAACGAGGTATAAATTTGATTTGATTTGATTTTTAAATTTTCCCTTAAAAAATTTCCCAAGAGGAAAAATTTTTTAAATTTTTTTACAGGAAATAAATTATGATAAATTAAAAGAATTTAAATTTAATCAATTGAAAATATTACTGGATGTTGATTCATTAATAAATGATATAACGTATTTGAATCGTCATGTTAAAATTATAAATAAAAAAAAATCAAAACACGGTAAAAAAAAAATTATTATTATTATTATTATTTGTTTTTATTTCAATGTCAATTTATTGTTTTTTTTTTTTTGTAAATTGTTTAGAAAACCGGATGGAACTGGATAATGAAGAAAGTAAAAGTTTCGAACTTATCGATGTAATAATATTAATTATTTATTTATTAATATTTTTATTAAAAAAATTAATAAGAATTAATAAAATTTACTCTTTTGATTTTTAGGATAGTCAATTAGATGATTATAATAATTATTTGACAAAGTTGAAGATTGTTAAAAACGAAAAGAAACGATTTGAAAATCAATTCGAAGGGATAAAAGAAGAAATGAGAAGTTTTAACCCAATTTCCATTCAGGTACAGGAAATTTTTTTTTTTTTTTTTTGAAATTTGCTTTACAATTGTCGCGGTAAAATAATTTTTTTTTTTTTTTCTTCAGGATTCTGTCGTTGTGCAAATGAAAAATTATAATATATTTGACAAAGTGAGAAAATCAAATTATTTTATTGAAAAAGAACTTGTGGCATTTAAAAAAATAATGAGTTTAGATGTAATTATATAAACCTTTTGTAATTTTTTGTAACTTTGTCGACAGGTCACAAAAAAAAAAAAAAAAACATTTTTTTTAATTTTTTAGGATTTGAATGATTTTACAGGATGTGAAAAATGGAGAAAAATGATAATAGGATCAATAACACGAGATTTGAATGAAATAAGAAAAGAATATAATAAAGCTTTAAATAATTTAAAATTTATTGAAAATGAAAGGAAAGATGCATTGGATCCTTTTATAAAACATTGCGATTGTTATTTATATTCAACCTTTTACGTAAGAACCTTAAAAATGTGGTTTTGGCATTAAAAAAAAAAAAAATTTCAAATCCACTTTTAAATATTTTTTTTATAGCATTTGATGGGTGATTCATTACCAAATTTGGAAATAAAATTTAACAACTCTTCGAGAAAATGTTTAAAACTACTTTCTCGATTAAGTCATGATGATGCCATTGTCAATTACATAGACATAAAAAATTTTAATACATTTTTAAAATTTTTATCAATTCTATCACTATTTTTAGAATTAGCAGTGTAAGTTAAAATAATCAGTTGCAAAATTATTATAATGTTCACATATTTATTTATTTTTTTTGTAAAATAGATATGAAAAAATTCCATTGTTAATTTTCGAAGAATTGGAACAATTTTTTCCCTCGAGTAATTTCAATTTGGAAATATTATTTAGCAAACAATCTGTCATGGATGCATTATTCAAAGAAGAAGATGACGACAAACAATTTCATTTGATGATGAGAATCGGACAATTCTTATTAAATTATATAAAAAAGGTAATAAATAATAATTTTTTTTTTGGATTGTATAAAAAATTATTATTTATTTAAAAACTAATTTTAACTGATTATTTTAATAGAATAATCTAGGAAATCGAGTAAGAAAAAATGAAAAAATGAAAGGTTGGTATTGAAAAAAAAAAAGTTTTTTATATCATTAAAAGAATACATTAATTATTTATTTTTTTTTTTTAGATATGATGACTGGACCGACACAAATAATTTTTTTTGCAAATAATTTTATACATGCTGCAAATCATTACATTTGGATTCACAGACAGGTTTGTTTTTTGTTCGAAATATTTTTGCAATCATAACAATGGGAAGAAAATAAATTTTTTATGTAAATACTTTACAGGTTTTACCAGATGAGCATATAACTGATGAATGCGATTCATATTCAGCGATACATGAATTAAATTTAAATTTATTGATGTGAAACACTCTGAGAAAAGGGTAAGTAATAAAATAATATTCATCATAATAAATTCTTCTTTCCCATATCTTCGGTAACATGAATAATGTCTTTTATCTGAATTAAATTTTCTTGGCTTGATTCGATAATGTCACTTAAAACTTTTCTATCATTTTTTAAACTCTGTTTATTTTCATCATCATCATCATCATGTGATTTACTGTATAATTCACTGATACATTTCAAAAAATCATTTTGTAATTCGTATGGTATTACAATCGTAGGTTCTTTTACTTTTTTCAATGCTAATCTAATAATTTCATCGACGTTAGTTAATTCCGTGCACGTTTTGTTTATCCCATTTATATAATTATTAAAAACGGTTAAAGTTTTTGCACCTAAACTAAATTCGTCAGTGCATTGTTTGGCTATTTCTACAATTTTTTTATCTGAATTTCCTTCTAAATTTAAACATACGGATTTGAATGAATTTAACGTGTTTAAAAATTTGTTACTCGTAGAAAACATAATTAAAAAAAACTAAATATTACATTTGTAAAATTTTAATGGATGTGTATACATAACGTGGCCCTAAAACTGTCGAAAGTTGATTTTGGCGGAATAAAATTTTTTTCTACTGACACGTTTAATTTTAAATCTTTACCGACATTTGTGAAAGACGGACGACCGTTAGGAAACGTTTTAAAAAAAAGGGAAATTTTTAGGTAAAATTTAAAATTTATTTTTATTTAAAAATTATATATATATATTTGTTATTAAATCTACAATTCTTTAAACTGCCATAATTTAACGGTTCCATCATCACTACAAGACGCTAATAAACCTTGAATTACGGGATTCCACGAAACCGAGTTGACATCTTGATTGTGTGCTTTTTCACACACGCAAATCATTTCGTAAGAGGGTTCATTTTTATTTATATAATCTGATTCTTTAAATATTCTAATGGCGTCATCTCCACACCCTGTCACAATTAAATCACTTAAATGACACCAAGACACATCGTATATTGCTCTAGAATGGTAACCTGAAAGTGTGCAAATGTTTTTCCATGCAGATTCATTTGAATCTCCTTTATTTTTTTCCGGATCGTTACAATTAAATTCTTTCCATATTTTAAGAGTTTTATCATCTGACACTGTGGCAAATTTCGAACCGTTTTTATTAAATGCTAAACTCCAAACTGTCGAGTCATGAGATGTTAAAGTAGTTGAACAAGTCCAATCGTGATCAGTCAAATCTTCTTTAAATAGTTTTATTGAATTATCATAGCTAACAGAAGCGAGTATATCTTGTGTGGGATGCCATTTTACCTGAAATAATTTTTAATTAAAATATTTTTCATAGCAAGTGTGAAAATTTCGATAGTTTTGAAATTCAAAGTGAAAATTTATTTATTTATCGTTAATTAAGTGGAAAAAAAACATGGATAAAAAAAATTTGAAAAAATTTCAGGTAAATTTTACTTTTATCACCTTTTTAACATCTTGAGTGTGAGCATTAAGTACGGCAGCACATTCATACTCGTCTTCATCAGCTATTTCCCACACCCACACTGATTTATCCCTGCTACAGCTTGCCAAAAGTTGACCATTATTAGCCCAAGCGATGGATTTAACTTCATTTTCATGTCCTTCCAGCGTTGCATTACATTCCCATTCGCCACTTTTTTTATCCCATATTCCGATTGTTGCATCGAAACTAGCCGAAGCTAAAGAAATAAAAAAAAAGTCGACACATACATTTTATAAACAAACATAAACATGTAATTAAAAAGAGAAAGTATCACTTTATCCTTGTTTTACCTATGTAATTTCCACAAGGTGACCAACCGATTTCTCTAATCGTTCGCGAATGTCCTTCAGTTAATTTTGTTTTATTTTGCCATTTTCCCAATGCATCTTTTGACCAAATACATATTGTTTTATCCTCGCCGCAACTAGCTAATAAATTTCCTTTCGGATGCCAAGCAACGTTCCAAACTCTACCTTCGTGACCTTTAAGGCACTGAACGGTTTCCAATTTACTCATTATTTAGTCTTACTTCTGACAGTACAATATACTCAATCATACTAAATTATCTACGATGAAATTGATATCATGAAAACGTGTTAACTTTATGCGAAATCGGCGCAGTTGTACAAATAATTAAAAATAAATGTTAACATAATTATAAAATACTAAAATAATTCGTTAAATAACAAAATGAAAGAGGTACTAATTAATAATAGAATAATATGATAATTTTAAACCGGATTTAATTACATCTCTTTTTCGGGGCCCCAAATTTTGGTATGGATAACTCTATGGTTAGAATAATTTGAATGTTGTGAGTAATGTTATATTGTTAAATTAACAATTAGTTCGGTAAATTTTTTTTCTAGTTAAAAATGACTAGTGTATTGTCTGATAAAAATAAAACTACTTCATTAGATTTAGGATTATTAGAAGAAGACGATGAATTTGAAGAATTTCCAGCCGAAGGTAAAAAAAAAAAAATAAAACAAATAAAAAAAAATAAAAATTTTTAATAAATGGCGTTTCATGGTGTCATGTTTGTGATTTTTATATATATATAATTTTTTAAATTTAGACTGGACAGCTAAAGATCAAGATGATGAAGATATAAGCGTTTGGGAAGATAATTGGGATGATGATAATGTCGAAGATGATTTTAGTAAATTATTAAAGTAAGTCCTTCTGTTAATAGTTTTCTCCTATTGGCATCATAATAATAATATTTTGATGATTTTCCATTTTAACTTTTCATTTTTTTTTTTTTTTTTTTATTTTTGGACTTAAATAAAAGAATAGAGTTGGGAAAACCACTGGCAGAGGATAAAAAAAAAAGAAGTAATGCAGATGTTGCCATGGAATTAAGGTCTAGAGAAACGAATGCTCAAAAATCTCAACAATTAGTTAAAGATGAAATTGAAAGGAAAAGAATTCATAGAAAATAATAATAATAATATTTCTTTTTAATGTATATCTATCTATCTATCTGCAGCAGTACCTTTAAATCTTATAGTTATAAAACGACATATTTTTTTTTTTTTTATGTAAGGAAAAATTTATTATTAAAAAATTTTAAATAAATACTAACAACTCTGATAATTAGACGTTTTTGATATTACAAAAAAAACAAACGGGGGGGGGAGGGGAGGGGAAAAAAGCAAAAGACATTTTGTCATTTAAAAATGAATGCTTTTATTAAGAAAAAGAAAGTATTGATAATATTAACGAGAAAAGTTTCACAACTGTTTAACTAATCTACCGGAAACAAAAACCTTTTTCATCAATTGATCATTTCCCAAATAAATAAATTTTTGAAATAATTGTTCTATATCATAATCTTCCAAAATATCAATAACTGATTTTTCATTTAAATCAATTAAAATGGCATCGAATTCTTTTCCGATTTTAAAATTTCCTATTTTATTTTCTAGTCCGAGAGCTGAAATAAAAATAAATTTAACATTATTTTACGAAGGGTTTCAAAAAAAAAAAAAAAAAAGATTGTGTGTTGGCAAACCTGTAGCACCACCCAGTGTTGCCATATAAAAAACTTCTTCTATTGATAATTTTTGACCTATTTTATTAAAGGAAGCTTGAATGGATAACATGATAGTTTGCCTTATGCATTCTAACATGGAACAACTGTTTCCGCCAGAGCAATCCGTTCCCAAACTCACATTAATACCCATGTTTAAATATTGAGAAACGGGACAAATGCCACTTTGTAAAAGTATGTTGGAACTGGGACAGTGACTTATCGTAGCTTTTCTCTCTTTTATAATTTCAAGTTCTTCTTGATTAAGGTATATTCCGTGAGCTAGTATCGTCTGTTTTATGTGAACAAACATTAATTATTAACGTACAGGTGCGAATTGGATGTAATTAAAAAAAAAAAAATATGTCGTCTTACTCTTTCATTAATGAGACCGGCTTTGTCATAAACTTGTGTGTAATTCATACAATCGGGAAATTCTTTTTTAACTTGTTTGATTTCTTCGTTATTTTCCGATATGTGAGTTTGAATGAGTAATTTATTATCAAACGCATAATCCCCTAATGCTTTTAATAATTCCTTTTCACAAGAAAGAGCGAATCTTGGAGTTATTATGGGTTTAACTAAAGGACTTTTTAAATTGTCAACGTATTCTACGAAATTCTTCGTAACCGACATTGATTTCTCGTGAGTTTCCCCATAATCAACCGTCACGTTTTTATTCATGTTGACTTTTCCTATGAATGCTCTTTGTCCTAAATTTTTTGCACATTTTGCAAATATGCAACAACTTTTTTCGTGGATCGTGGCAAAATAACTCGCTGTCGTCGTACCGTTTGCTAAAGTTCTTTTCTGAAAAAAAAAACATCAAATTCAACAATTTCTATTATTAATGAAACATTAGAAAAAAAGAAACTCACGATAACCGCATCGTAAACTTTTTCCGCAAAATTTTCATCATCGAATTTACTTTCCAAAGGAAACGTGTATTTTTCCAACCATTGCAATAACGGTAAATCATAACCCAAACCGACGTTCGGATATTGAGATCCGTGAATGTGGGTATCAATGAAACCCGGTATTAAAAATTCGCCATATTTTAAAACGTGTAAGTTTTTCTCTTTTACGTTGAATTTTTTTTGTAATAAACTGACGTCACAACTGTCATTTTCAATTTGTATTATTTTACCATCTGACACGACGATAATACCCTGTGGAATTATTTCTAAATTTTTCAATGAAATCGAATGAATTAATGTGCCGACGAACATAAACGGCTCGGAATTCTGCAAAAAAAAATTTAAAAATTTCTTTTTTTTAAACCGTTTCATTATAACCGTTTTTACTATAACGTATGCATCCACGAAAAAATTTTTTTGATTTCAAAAGTTGGTACTCCCGACGTCTCATTGTTACGCCGAATTAAAAAGAGACGAAGAAGATGAATTCCAGGTAAAAATAATTTGGATATGAATCATTAAGTGATTATTATTTTAAAAATTTCATTTTCATCTTTTTTTTTTTTTTAACGTCCTTCGGGATTTATATATATTAATTACTATTATTAATATTTCGTAAAATAAAAAATTTGATTGTTTATCATCTTTTTTTTTTTTTTTGTTTAAATTTTAAACCGGCGTTTTAATTATGTTAAATTTATTGTAACGAAAACGCAACCAATCGTGTAATTTTTTATTTTTATTTCCCCTCTCTTATAAAAAAAAAAAAAAAAAAAATTTATATTCTCACGAATATTAAGTTTCAAAATCTTAAATTATTTACGTACAAAAATTTATTATTATTATGTAACGAAACATTTAAAATTTCAATTTTTTAATTCTAATAGATTCGAACGCCGACATTTTGTTTAAAAAAAAAAAAACAAAAGATTTTATTCGATATCTATATAAATATTATTATAATTATCGTCGTTTATAAACAACAATATTGGTTATAAAAATAATAATAATAATAATTTTATCAAAACTATTAAAATTATTAAAGTTCGTGTCAAAGATGAATAAAAAGGCCACCATGTAATTTATATGTAATATAATAAAGATAGTAAAAAAACTAATAAAATTCGAAAAAATTTTTTTTTTTTTTATCGCGATACAAATATTTTCTTTTTAAAAAAACGTTAAAATATTTAAGTACCCAAAATATAAATTTGTTTTTATTTACGGTAGCCTAATTAAACGATTATTATAATTTTTAAAAGTGTAATAAAAAATTTATAAAACTTACATTTTCCATATTCATTTTATTTTGCAGAAGACGATAAATTCAATATGAAATCCTTTATTGAAATAAATATATTTTAAATTATTTTTCAAAATTGTGAGTTGAAACGTGGTCGTAAGTGATTTAAATATTTATATATATATAATTACCATAAAATTCTTATTAAAATTTATTTTTTTCCCCCTAAAATTATTTAATAAAGTTAAAAAAAAAAAAAATGATAAAAATGGATTGAATGTGTGATATGTATGTCAATCAATCAAATTAACGAATTTGACGTTGATGAACTAATTAATTATTAAATAAATAAATAGTTATACGAACCGTCGGTTTATTATTTATTTAAATAATTTAAATCGTTTGTAAATTACTTTTCGACAACACTAGTTTTTTAAAAAAAAAAAAAAAAAAATCATCAAAGGCAATGAATGGTTACAACACGTCAAACGTTAATTTCAAATTTATTCCTAACGTTTCACTGCGCCATCTTTAGTTTTTTTTTATAATCTAAACGAGTTACCACTTAAATAATTTATTTAAAAAAAAAAAATTTAGTGTAGGCGTAACGGTTTTGATTTGAATTTAAAAAAAAAAAATTACGAAATATATAATTAATAATTTATTACGTAATATTTTTAATAAGTCGGTTTATTAAATAATAAATTAATGTACGAATATGGTCGATCATTATGTTGTGTTTGTTTTTATGTGAAAAAATTTTCTAAAATACTCTCATCCTCATCTACTGTTTTATTTATTGTTTTTCCAATTATATTGTGTAAATAATTTCCAGGTATGCCTTTAGGTTCGGCAACCTTAAGGGATACGTTATCCCAAGTTATGACATCACCTTTTTTAAGGGGTTTTGCTGCAACAACAGTTTTCCCTAATTTTTCATAACATGTTTTTTCTGATTTTTGAAATTTTTTTTCATGAGCCCCAAGTGATTTTTTAACTTCATCTTTGCTAAATATCGTTTCTAATTGAATTTTATTTCTTTCAAAATCTCTTATATTGGAAACCATTTGTTTAAATTCTAATGGAGTCAAAGAACATTTGTGATCAGTGCCTTTTAATGATTTATCTAATGTAAAATGTTTTTCTATTATTTTGGCACCTAAAGCAACGGCTCCTAATGGAACATCTATTCCTAATTCATGTCCTGAATAACCAATATTAATATCAGGAAATAATTTCTTATAACTTTTTATAACATTTAAATTTATTTCATCAAATGGTACTGGATAAGATGAAGTGCAATGTAATAAGGAAAAATTCATGTGGTTTGATTTAAGCAAATTGTATATTTCAATAACATCACTAATGTGAGACATACCTGTTGAAATAATTAAAGGTTTACCTAACCTTGATGCCAATTTGAGTAATTTGAAATTGTGAGCATCACCAGAGCCAATTTTTATAAATGGAACATCAAGATTATTTAAAAAGTTTAAAGAAACCTCATCCATTACTGAACTTGAAAAAATAATGTTTTTAGAATGTGAAAAATTTTGTAATTCTATAAAATCATTGTCATCAAATTCTAAATAATTTTTATGATCCCCATATGTTGCCCCCCAAGAATTAGGACTAATGTAGGGTCTCATCAATGCTTTCTTGTTAAATTTTGATGGTAAGTGACTTTTTTGAAATTTAACACAATCAGCTCCACTCTCTTTTGCTAATAATATCATTTCTTTTGCTAAATTTATATCACCTTGATGATTTTGTCCGATTTCAGCAATGATAAAACATCTTTCATTTGGTCCTATAGCTGAACAATTTCCTATTCTAATCGTATTCGGTCCTTTGATTTGTACATCCTAAAAATAAATAAATAAACTTAATACGTTTTGTTTTTAAGAAGAAATTATTGATTTTTTCCATTAAGATTTTTACACTTTGAAAATGTCAAAGTTTACAAAGAAATGTTTAAGTATAAAAAACGATTTACAAGCTAAGGAACCCACGCTTACCTCTCCTGCCATAATATTATGTATTACAATAGTAATTATTATTAATAAAACTTAAAAAACGAATTAATTTAAAATATAGGGCGGGAATTAAGTGTAATTGGTTTTACATATAAATTATTACAAGTGTTTTCTTATGACACGATAAATTTAGGTTGGCAATTCCTTGGTTCCGTTTCGGTAGAGTTTAATACTCAGTTAGAGTTCTAATCGTACAATTGTTAAAGAAATTTTTATCGAGGTAATCCACGATTAACGATGACGGAAGATTATTTTTGGGGTAAGTTTTGTTGTAAACAATATTTTATTATAATTTTAACGTAATTTAATTTAAATTTAAATTTGAACATTCTGAACCTGTGGATAAATATGAAATACCCGGCGTCATAACTTATTTTACATGCCTTATATTGATTGATAAATTTTACTTTCATTTTTTACGTGTGTAAATATTTATGAGGTGAAAATATTTTTTTTAATATCTACTACTATGGGTTTAATTTTTATTTTGTCATATGTTAGTCAAATATTCAAAATTGTCTTTCAAATCCTTTTTCTGAGATTTACCGTATTACATTAAATTACCGGGTTATTACACATGTTGATGATGGTTTAAATTCTATTAATTATTATTTTTGAATACTATGCAGTATTGGAATTTGACAGTGAAAGGAATTTTTATAAGTCACCTAAATGTGTAATACTAATCCATAAGTACCGTATCATAATTATTGTTTCCAAGTGTCAAACACATGCATTATGTGTTTCTTTATTCCATAAGTTTCTAAGTATTTCTGAGAATGTTGGGTAAAAATCAGGTTTTAGTGCTTTTAATATTTAAATTTTAAGGAAGCAGCATTAATTCCATATGAAATAGTATTCTGTATTTGCTATAAATGAATAATTAATTACCATTTCAGGAGTTACCTTAAGTAACACAAACAAGGAAGTTAAGTGGGAACCTGATGCATTGAAAGAAAATGGAGGTATTGGGGAAATATCACTTTCAGCCAAGGGAGAACACACTTTAATTATTAAACAAGCATTACTTAGTCCTAGTGCTAAAGATTCAGAGGTTAATGTTATTGAAGTGGAAACAACTGGCTACAAAGGGAATATTAGGCAGCCGATAATTGCCTTGGTCGGGGGTAAACAGCAGCATCTATTGCTCGATTTAAATTTTCCAGATCCACCAGTTATGTTGAGATTAATTGAAGGTCATGGGCCTGTTCACATTTCTGGAAATCATGTAATTAATGCTGAACAATACAATGATGAAGATGATGATGATGAGGATGATGACTTGGGTATGTAATATATAGATTTTCCATATTAAGCCTTAAGTAATATATGCAAATTTACTTATAATTTTAAACGAATAAATACAGATGAATTTGATGAACAAGGATTGGAAGAAGAAGATGAAGAAGATGAAGCTGAGATGGAAGAAAAAAAGAAAGAAGATAAATCTGTGAAAAAAAGGGCAAATTCGAGCTCTGGTCAGTCGCAAGCCAAGAAGAAGAAGAAAACTGGAAAAGATGATTAACCAAACTACAGTGATTAACTGTTAATTATTTTTCAAACGTCTTTGTCTTTGACCGGAGATTTTTTATTCCTTTCTCTGGGTAAAATTCTATTTGTGGAAAAAAAATGTTTAAAACAGGGGCTCCAAACATTTTGTTCATTTGCTTTATTTGTGCCTCACTCAAATATATTGTGTGAATGTATCATTAACCTTGGGGAAAAATTCTCGAAATTTGTCAGTTAACTTCCAAGTTCCTATTTTAATTTACCCCATGGTTATATATATATATCATTCAGTGAGACTTTTACACATTTAATTGGGTTTTTTTTTAATGATTGAATATCTTAATTGTAGTTTATGTTTCAATACACTCCTTTTTTAATATATATATTGTTAATTTAATTTATTTCCTTATTCTTTGATATTGCTAAGTGAAATATAAAAATATTTCTATTCTAAAAGTAAATGCACTATCAAAACATATTTAAACATTAATGAGGTTATCCAGAATGTAAATGCATATCAGTAACATAACGTAATTGGTTAATGACATCTCCTGGATTTTTAGAGTTGGTGACAGCAGTACCAGATACTATCCAATTAGCACCTGCCTAAAATTAGAAAGAAAAAAAAAAAACATGAGTAATAATCTTAAAAGATTTTTTTTTTTTTTTTTAAAAAACTTACTTTGGCACATTGTTCAATAGTATTAGGTCCTACTCCACCATCTACTTCAATATTTAAACCGGGATTAGCTTGTCTTAAAAGTTTTACTTTTTCCATCATATTGCTCATAAATTTTTGTCCCCCAAAACCTGGCTCTACTGTCATAATTAAAACCAAATCAGCATAGTCTATGTAGTTTTGTATGACAGAAATCGGAGTGCCAGGTTTTAATGCTAATCCTACCTTAATAATTTAAAAATGAGAATTTTGAATGAAAAAAAAATTTTATTTTTATACTTTAAAAAGTGGTAGGTAAACCAACCTTCATTCCACATTCTCTAATTTTTCTACAAATATCTTCAATTTCATTTTTATTACAAGGCTCAACATGAAAAGTGTATTGATTAACTCCAGCATCCGCTGTTGGTTCTATCCACTAAAATAAATTTTTTTTTTTTTAAAATAAAGTAATACTGTACATTTATTTAGATATGTGAGTTTGCACATAAAAATATTTTAAAATTACCTGTAACGGATTCGACACCATCATGTGACTTTCAAAAAAAGCATTTTTTATTTTATTCCTAAGACATTTAATAACTGGATGACCGAAGGTAATATTAGGTACAAAATGACCATCCATAACATCTAAGTGTAAATAATCGGCACCGCATGATAATAGTTTTTCTGATTCTTCATAAAGTTGAGATAAATCTGCACAAAGAACTGAGGGCCCAATTTGAGTTGTGAGTTTATCATGTCTCAATCCACAATGTTTCAACATATTTATATTTTTATTTAAAAATACATAAATGTCGAATTATTGATAACACTAATTTTGATTATGTAACATTTCTACATGATACGGCGGTTTTTTATTTTGTTTGGTTGGCAAAATGTAAAAGTTTGTAATCGTTGAGCAGTTTTTACTTTCACCGTAAATATGTCATTAAAATTCTGATATATACATTTTTTTAAATTTTTTATAAATTATATTTTATTATAATTTATCTCTTAAAATTTTTACGTATGCCATAGTATGGCTAATTCAAGAAATTCTTCAGGTAACACATAATAATAATAATTTTTTACAAATAAATTTTAAAATGATTTTGAATAATTTTAGATTTTTAATCACCTGTTGATTTGAGTGTTTACTTCCTTAAAAAGTAAAGTAACATTGTATAAAATTTTCAAGTAGTATAACAAAAATAAAAAATTTAAATTAATTGAGTGCCTAATATTATTATATAACACGTTTAATCTAATTAATTTATTGCTATTAGATATTCATTGTCTACCATAACAAAAATTATTGTTAGGTACCTAAAAATAACTTTTCACGCGTGGCCTGAATTGTATGCTAAAATTACAAAAAATTACAAAACCTGTTTAAGCAAATTTAAGTGTTTTAAATTTAATTTATAAATCAAAACCTAAGTTTTGATTTTTATGATTCAACTTAAACTAAATTTTTTAATATTTATTTCACATAAAAATAAATGGGTTTGTATAATTATTAATTGTATTTATAATTTTTTTATTTTAATGTAAATAATTATTTTAATTCATTAAAAATGTTTTGTGTAAAAAGGTAATGTTAAATTTTAAAAAATCAATTTATTTATTTATTTTAGAGATAACTCATACAGTAGAACCACAAACGGAAACTTCTCCATTGAAAAAAAATGATGGAAAAAGAACATGGTTCAGTATTTTCAATAATTCAGTAAATGAACAAGAGGAAGGTTCATTAAAGACAATAATTTTAAATTTTTTCGGTTTCACCATAATTATTACAATCGCTTTGATAGTTCACTTATATTATGGAAACCATCGACTTACACCTCATGGAAGTGTGGCTAGTGACGATTTCGAATGCAGTAAAATTGGACTTGATCTTTTGAAAGTCGGGGGTAATTCTATTGATGCAGCAATTGCAACAGTCTTCTGTTTAGGAGTTGTAAATTTCCACATAACTGGATTAGGAGGGTATGTGTTTTAAATTTGTTTTCGATTTTATATATTGTGATTATTTTTTTTGAAATTTTACATCATGAATCATAAAATTAAAAAAAAATTTTTTTTAGTGGTGGATACATGATAGTTTACAATCATAGAAAATTTGAAGTATTAGATGTAATCGACTTTCAATCTACTGTTCCTAATTCAATGGATTTTAATAATTTTGATAGTTCAGCTGAAGGCTTAAGTGTTGGAGTACCAGGAATGCTAATGGGATTATGGGAAGCTCACAGTAAATTTGGGAGACTTACTTGGCAGGAAGTAGTAATACCTGCAATTAATCTTGCAAAGTACAGTTATACTTTTTTTTTTTTTCCCCTCATTTAACATATCATTCAAATGTACATAATACTATTTAAAATTTCATTTTTTTTTTCTTTTAGATATGGGTTTTCGGTCAGAAAAAGTGTCATGTCTTCTATTTCTCGTGTTAATGCTAAGTCTGTATACAATGAAAACTTAAAATTATATTTAAATTCATTGAAAGAGGGGAAAAATGTTACTTTTCCAAAATTAGCAAAAACACTTGAAACTATTTCTGTCAGTGGTTTAAATGGTAGTACATTATTACAGAAAATAAATTCTCAGTTTAAAATGTATGAGTGGAGTGAATAATTAAAAAAAAAATTAACGTTTTTAGATTTTTACAATGGGACATTGGCTATGGATATTGTGTCTTCGGTAAAAAAAGCAAAGGGCATAATTACATTATTAGATTTGGTTCAATATAAAACATCTCACAGCGATTTATTGCATACTAAATTTGGAAACTTTAATATACTCGTACCTGGTTCCTCT